TGTTCATGATAAATATAAGTACTTATCAGATTGTATTATAGCTAGAGGTAGCCATGAAACCCACTTCTAGACAAGGATACAAGTTCTCTAGGTAAGGCTTTCAACAAACTATTGCTTTCCTAATAAAAAAAGAGGAGAGATAGACTCAGATAATACTGAGTACACCTTTTATCTTTAACCTTCCTTCCTCCTTACCATCTTCAGCTGAGAAAAAGAAATCCTATTTGTTAATCTGGTACACGTTTCATTGTATTCATCTGGGTGCGATGCTAAGGCAATGATGACATAATTAAAAATCCTACTTTACAGATAGCAAAATAAGAGTTTAATATAGGTAAATTATGGTTTCTTTAGTATTATCATGCCTCTGTCTTGAACCACAGGATTTTTTGAGATATTTTGAATCCTTCATTCTCTTGTTTTACATTCAATCTAACAGAATAGATTTACTGACCTTGTCTTTAAAGATACTATAAAAACTCAAAGAAAATAAATCAATAAATAATAACAAAAATTGTTCAGCAAAAAAGTTTTCCAGAAATAATTTTGTATGTCAAAGGACAACTTGGAAACTTTGCTCTCCTTGGTTTCCTAATCCAGAACTTTCTGGCCAACCTGCCTTCCAGCACTGATTTGCTGCTAATAATCAAGCTGCTGCTCTGCCTCAGTCCCTGGATCAGTCAGGTGTCAAAGGCCTGGAGCTGCTTGCTTTGGCCTTCAAGCAGTGCAACGTGCAAATCTTCTTATTCTCCACAAGGTGAAAAGGTTGAGCAGCACAACCCTATATGACAGCTAGATGTTGTCAAAATTGTAAGTACATATTTACAATCACATTGGGACCCCAAATTAGTTCACACAGTTCTAAGTAACATAATTTTACTTTTGGTTAAATAAAAAATGGTCCAAGGGCAGTTAACAGTATCAAGATACAAGGGTGAGTGATTTGTCCACTGGCACATCACACTTCTAGGGCCTGGCAGAGCAAGACTCTTAAATCAAGGCTTTCTATGTGTAAGCCCCTTTTCTACCTCTCTGTATGATGATGACATTCCAAGCTTATCCAGATCTTTAAAAACAGCATTTGATTTCATTCTCTGAGGAAAGTTCAAATGGTTTTTCTTTGTTTTTTCTTGTGACTGTTATGCAAACACTGGGAAACTGATACTCTCTTTGAACTTGGCAGGACTGGGAAAGCATAACACTAATTGCATATTTAGACTGTAGCAATTCTCTTTTTACAGCTCCCCACCTCCAACATCCAGAGAAGTAATCCTTGTTATTTTGGGTTAGTAGAAAAGAGTTTTTTGGCCCATCACTCTAGAAATCTCCCTAGAAGTATCTATAAAAAAAGAGAGCAAATTAAAAAGAAAACAGCATGTTGCAATTAATCAACATAAGTTGTTTTGTTTTACCGATCACAGTTTCTTATTGTACTTTCCATAGAAACTGAAATTAAATTCAAAGTTTCCGAAAAAAAAAGACAGCGAAATGAAAGAAACTGTCAAAAATAAATTACATAATGGAAAGATAAAGAAAAATATAAATTTTAAACCAGGGGCAATTATTGTTAAGAGATGTTAATGAAATTAATAGAAATTAGGTTTACTATTTCTGCTTTAAAAGCTAGATAAATCAATGGATTTTAATAGGTAGAAATATTTTAATCTCTTTGTAACATTGCAGAAAGAAAGAAGATCTATATATGAAAATAGGAAGACAGGAATAAGAAATATCTAAAAAGTAGCTAATAAAGACATTTAAAAGCACAGGTGATATCTAAAATATTAACCAGAACATTAATTCTCTGTTCAGACATTAAATTATATATGAAAATAGGAAGACAGGAATAAGAAATATCTAAAAAGTAGCTAATAAAGACAGATTTAAAAGCACAGGTGATATCTAAAATATTAACCAGAACATTAATTCTCTGTTCAGACATTAACATGATTGGGTGGTTGAACATGTATGGCATAAAACAATATATAAAGCAAGAATGACAGAATATAGCAAATGAGGTGGTTGCAACAGGCCTATCACAGGTTTTAAATTTCACGTTTAAAGAAGTGGGCTCCATAACTACAACATCTAAGTTCAAATCCTAGTTCTATCACTTAGCAGTTGAGAGATGACAATATGCTTACTGTTCTAGTATAGAATAAGGGTTGTTTTCTTACCCTATCATTACTTAAAAAGGTAAAACTGCAGCATTAAATAAAAAGTACAATTCTCATATTGGTTAATTGCTTGTTTCCAATTTTTCTTAACAAAATTTTCATTGACAACAAAATATGCACAAGACTTAAAATAAACTCTGTCTCTCAGTAACAAGAAAGTCAAGACTATGCACTGGAGGGACATAATGGGACACTATAGGCAAATTCATTATAAAAGCCAGATTCTCCCTTTTCCAGAATACACTGAGCACATTTGGAAGATAACTCAAATTTTTTATGATACATAAAAATTAACTTATTCATAAGTCAGAGACTTACTGTATTCTATTATGTATAAAATAACACATTTTCTTTATCCATTCATCCCTTGATGAACATTAAAGCTGCTTCCAAGATTTAGCTATTATGAATTGTGCTGCTATGAACTTAGGTATATATGTATCACTGTAACTGATGTCCTTAACACTTTCAGGAAGATACCCAGAAGAGCAAAAGCTAGCTTGAATGGAATTTATATGTTTAGTTTTTTGAGGAATCTCCATACTGATTTCCATAGTGGTTATACTAGTATACTCTTTATTTTTCATTCCAAGATATAAATTAAGCATTATTCTCAGCAGCTGACTATACATATAAATCTTCTTTGCAAGACATTTGGCTTCTCAATACAATATTGGCCAAATAAATCTATCTTCAGAAGTAAAGTCCTTTAGGTGTCTACAGAGGCTGACAAATGTATTAATGTGCATGTGTTTTGAGTGTGTATGCATACTCCAAGTTAATTCATTTGTGCTAAAATTAAGTAACATATCTATCTTCTCCATAGCATTTAAACTATATATCCAAATTTAACATGGGTATGAATATATATTTAATATTATAAGATTTGTCTAAATTTAAAAACATAAGATTTCCACGAATTTCTTATTTTTTAATTTTCAACTTCTGAGCTTACAGAAATTCTCCTAATAAAAGCATGAATGCACAGAAGTGTTTTGAAAGCAAGAAAATGCAATATCCTGAGAAAACATAAAGAAACTAATAAAAGCTGAACTTCTCAGTCAACAAATACCTTGAGTGAATATTAAATAAATACTATTAAAGCATGACTTCAGTTCCAAAAATAACATGGCAACATATGAAGACCATCAAAATCTATTCAAATAGCTTCATTGAAAACATACTATCCTTGTTGTTTGTTTTCTGAAACTATGCATTTTTAAGAATAACTTCCAATTAAATTATCCTAGTATTCAAATTTACCTTCAATTCAAAACTCTGTTCTAAGCACTGTTAAATCCATATTAAACCTTTCTGAGTTAATATATATTTGGAGCCAAGCAAACACATGTTTTAGCCACATACAATGCTGTGCTTAATGAAAATGCGAACTGATTTACAAGTTTTGCTTAAGTACATTTTAATCTGGCAAACAGGGTTGATATTAAGTAAGGAAATATAGGTATTATATTTCTGTGGAAACTTCATTCAGTGTCCATCTCTTCAGAGTTCAAGTTTCCATAAGCAACCACAGAAAAGGTCAGCAGTGGGCAGAAAATACGGTAAACATATATGGGACACTAAACTAAGGTTTATAGCCATGCAGCTTACTTCTGAAAAGTCTGGACAGTCAATCGGATGAGGGCCTACTGGGCACAAGAGAAAAAGTTGGAAAGACACAATCTGCCTAGATGAGCCTTTCTGAATGGAGAGGTCTATATGTTCCTGAACACACACATACGCACATACACACACACACACACACACACACACACACACAAATGAACAGAAAAATGCCTAGATGAGCCTTTCTGAATGGAAAGGTCTATATGTTCCTGAACACACACATACACACATACACACACACACACACAAATGAACAGAAATTTGGCATGTTTTTAAAAGTATGCCATATGTGTGTGTGTGTGTGTGTGTGTGTGTGTGTATGTTTTCATAACTTCTTACCTCCAATACATAGGATCAACCATAATGAAAATCAGTCTTACAAAAAACAAAAATAACAATATTGAATTTGCATAAATAACACAAATGGTTACCTTCATGCATCACATTATAGATCCTCCTGGATATTAAAAGCTAGAATTTATGATGTTTAATTATGTATTTCCCCGAAACTAGCATAGCTTACTTTACTAGTGTCATAGGGTAGCATTTTAGATAGTAACAAGTAATTCTAATTCAAATTAAGTATGGGATGTCAAAAAACAAAACTATTTCTAAAAATGGCAATTTCTAATCCTACAACATTATGTTATATCTTAAAGGAACACAGTAATGCTTCGGTTCACAAATGCTTCTATTTACAAACAATTTGGTTCTCAAACAAAAGCATTTGACAAAATTTTGCTTCCTTTCACAAACTCCACATAGAGTAACAAACACAATTGCAATCAGCTTCCCCAAAACTTTAAAACAAATAAATTCATAAACAGGTACCACTGTAGTTTTAAAGTTTGAAATGACAATCTCAAAGAAATATGTCAATAGAAAGACTTTGTATAAGATAGATTACATTTTATATTTTCCATAAGACAAAGTTTGGCATATCTCTAAGGGTATTCTCCAATTTTAATACTGTTTTGACTCTAAGGATATGAATTTTGACAAACACAAAGGTCATTTTACTATTATGATAAAAAATAAAAATATTGCAATGAAAATCCAACCCTCAAAAGTAGCTAGCATCCATCAGGCCCCATAGAATTTCAAACAACTCCACTAGAGATGGATACCTTCTCTTCCTGAAACAGTCTATGTTTAAACCTGTTTTCTGTATCAGTGACAATTTTGCTCAACACTCACCTGTTATTTTTTGCAGCAAAGGTGACAATTCAGACTCCTCACAGAAGGCCTGAACCAATGCTTTCTTCACTTTTTCTTCAGCCTCTCCCAGGTCTTTGTCCACTGTGAACTCTCCAATGACAGAATAAATGTATATGAGGAGGACCAGCAGCTCCTCAGGACCATAGTCATCATCGGTCCTCTGAGTGGACGGCTTAAACATGGGCAGCAGCTGATTTAACACAGCAGACATCCCTGACTCCCCAATGCTCTGAAATAGAAAGTGATAATAGGAAAATATACCAATCTCATACAGAAACATAACTTATGCACCATATTAGTCCAAAGATAGCCTGCAAACAAGCCTATGATGTCCATTGACCATACTCTTTTTATTGGTATGTTTATTTGTCTTGGAGAGACTAGTGCAAAAAGTATGGCATAAGAGTTTTCATCTTGAAATGCATAGTTTATAAAATGGCTAGTTGCAGTCCCTTTAACATGATCTGACTGCTGTTTAAACAACAATCCTTTAAATTTGAAAATAAAGATGTATTTCAGACACATGTAATGTTAAATAAAAGTAATGCATTTGTAAAAAAATATATTTAAACAACAAATATAGAAAGTCTATGTTTCCTGACAAATGAATGCTCACCCTCCTTCAAAGGAATCACTTTAGATTTCATAGCATTTTTTATTTTTTATTTTTTTACCGGGGATTGAAGGGCAGGCGGCGGCACTACTGAGCTAAATCCCTGGCCCTATAGCATATTATTTTTAATATCCTCTATGTTGACAAGTACTGTATTCGAATATTTTTTATAACAACAAAAAGTCATTTTCTGCTAACTCTGGTGACTAGAATAAGGAATCATACTAGATAATGTTTTTAGAGTTCTTTGGGTGAATTAAAGGTAATTCAGGGGCTGGGGATTCAGCTCAGAGGTGCTGTTCCTGCCTCTCAAGCACAAGGTCCTGAGTTCGATTGCCATAATGCAAAAAAAAAGTAATTCTACTTAAAATTTTAAAAAAATGTTTTCAGCTCCCCACCAATTTCTTGAATGATATTTACCAAACAATTTCAAAATTCCTGGCATGTGAGAATAGCGCTGCATTACTAAAGTAACTCTGAACTATATTCATTTCTAGCATAAATTCTGAGATTTTTGGTAAAGAAACAAATTCTCACTTTAAATAATGTAATTTAATTTCATCTGTAATATAAAACTCTACTGTTTGTATTGATGTTCAAATCAAAGGCCAAATTCTTACAACTTGCAACTTCCATTATTCATCCAGAGGTGTCCTCTGCACACATACTGTGCTTCAGATAGTGTTCTAGGTCTAGGGATGTGGCAGTGTACAAAACAAGTTCTCTGCTCTCATGGAGTCTATGCTGTAGTGGGGGAAGCAGACAAATTCAAAGCTATCAAAGTAGAATATGCAGTGTAGTAGAGAGCTGGAAGTAATATGGAGAAAAATAAGGCCAGAAGGACCAGGGATTGGGCTCAATGGTTCCACTACCTGTCTTGCAAGAGCAAGATCCCAAGTTAGATCCTTGGTACAAAAGAGAGAGAGAGAGAGAGAGAGAGAGGAGGAAAGAAATGAAAAGAAAGATAGGCTAGGAAGGAAGATGAGAACTCAGGGAGTATGTATTGTGTGTGCAGACATGCACTATAAGGACAAACAGTGTTAAAAAGGAATACTGCGCAAACTCTTTTTCTGAAGAGAAAGTTAACAGAGAGCAGCTGAATGTCGTTTCATACTAGGATGACCACCCTAAATGAGCTTTTCTAGTCATTTCTACACCTGGACAAATTTGGATAGATTTTTGTCAAGGTTAAGATTCACAATTATAAGTATTTCATACACAGAAAACAGCTGTTACCCTTTCTTTCCGCTAACTATCGTGGATGTTCACAATGTACCACACAAACAAAAAAAATCCTAAATCTTTTGGATTAGATAAGGTAAAAATGGAAAAGAACAGAGCTGTTGTTTTGTTTCCTAGTATATGTGACAAGACATGATTTAGCAAGGATAAACACAAACACTCCTCAAAAGCAATAAGGGCCAAAAGGTTTGGAGGCAACCTAGAATGATCCTATAGCTCAGGAGTGCCTGGAAAGGAACCTTCAAAGGTCCTTTCTTTGTTTTACAAGCTGCCAAAAGTAATTTAAAGGAAAGGAGCCATGTGGCTGGTCTGTGAAAAGAAGGTTGCAGCTTGATTTTTTGCTTTTTTTGCTTTTTACTCTATCATCAACTCTTTGGATGACAACAAGCAGATTCTTTCATTACTTTATATCCCATTTCTAAAAAACAGGTGTATACATAAAAGCTCTGTTCTATAGGGCCATACAGTTCTCTCCCAAGGGCAGAAGGATTTTTTTAAAAGATAGTTAAAAAATAAAGTAGGATAAGATAATCATCAAAATCACCTGTAAAAATTCACTCACTAACACCTGGCCTTAAGGATTTCATTTGCAAGTTACTGGCCTATGACATGTGCTAGAGGGCGAAGTCCTTCATGAGTGATGCTCTAGCAGATTTCTGCTGTACATACAAATTTCTAAAATTATATCCTAAATCTGCTTAATGCATCTTACCAAGTCAATAAGTGGATTTAATACAAAGCCAAGAATACTGACCAGTTTTAAAGAAACAAAATGATAGAAATTTTTTGAAAAGTCTATTGCAGAAAGTCAGATTCCAGTCCTATTTTACTAACTAGTCCCTTAACCTCTTAGGATCTCTTCTTTAAAATGCCATTCTCTGACTGGGGGTAGAATAGCAAGAAGTCACATCATGCCCAGGTCTCCACCCACCGCCACCTTTTTTGTTTGCCTTTGGTAGCAGATGGCAGCACGTTATACTCTTATTTTTGGCTACTCAGCAAAATGCAAATTTTCAAACAGGAAATCCTTACATACAGATGGATTGCTAATGAAGTAACTGTAGGAAAAATGCAACATATATCTATTTCCTAACTCTGTCCACTGAGATGACCTAAAAGCCATGCTCACACATTGTAGTTTCTCATGTTCTTCAAACAGAAGGAATCAGAGGTTCCAAAATTAAAAACTAATTAAGGTTGGGCTGGGAAAATACAAGAGGATCCCAGAAAGTAAGAAAATGCTCAAAAAACAAAACACTAGGAACATTTCAAAAGGACACAGGAGCAAACTGAAAGATGTCCCAATGAACAAAGGTAGAATAGTTTGAAAAACAAAATGAATAAAATAATATTCACTTATAACACAAATTATACAATAAATACCTATTAGTCCAGATTAATATGAGTAAGTGACTGAGTTAATAAATACAAGTATGGGAGAAGAGACAAATCTTCTTATACAGTTCCAAATAATTTTATGTAGCTATGCACCACACCAAGAGGTAGAGTTTAATTCTTCCTATCTCTAATATATGGGCTACATGTAGTGACTTGCTTGTAAAAATCTGAGAGGGATATGGAAAAGGGAGAGGGATGGAATAACTTAACCTTAACTAGGAGATTAAGGTCACTATAAGTAGTGCTAAGTTACATTGATATCCCTAAGAATAACACTTCATTTTTGTAGTTTTCTTCCCCCAAATTCATAATCCCAGTCTAATCATGACAAAAACAATTAGACAAATCCCAGTTGTGAAACATTCTATAAAATGTCCAACTAGTACTTCTCTAAACTGTCAAGGACATAAAAAACAAAATAGACTGAAAGGGCCAGGGATTTAGTTCAGTGGTTCCACTACCTGCCTTGCAAGTGCAAGGTCCCAAGTTCGAACCCCAGAACCCCCCCAAAAAAGGGTTCACATAATAAAATAAAGCATATATTGCACCACCGTAAGAATGTTTCTATAAATCTAAATGTATTCTAAAAAATGCCTACTGGGAAGGCAAGGCATTAGGCTTGTAAGAGACAAATCCAGGTACATTTTGATTTCCATTTCAGACAGACTATGAAAATTCCAAGAAAGACAATTTCAACTCAGTGTGACTAAGAACCCCTTGCAACTAGAGCCATCAGCCAAGATAAGGGACTGCCCAGGAAGCAGTGAACTTCCTACCATTAGCACAGGTAGACAAAGTTATCATCTGGCCAGGAAGCAGCAGGAGAATGGAACCCTGTGCCACCTTGGCTTGAAGGGAAACTAATCATTCTGGTGCATAAAAGTATGGCCCTATACTGGATGTACATCCATTTCTAATATTCTCTGCTATAAAATCAGAATCTCCACAAGAAAGGTGAAAAAGTTCAAAGACTCCTTAGATTGAAACCTTTGTAAAAGTGAAAGAAGGAATCTTAGCAGGATTAATAATGCGGATGTGGGAATCACATTGTTTGCCTCAGTTTGAATCCTCCCCATAACACTAATTGTATGACCTCAGACAAATTATTTAACTTCCCCAAGTCTCAATCTTCTCATCTGTAAAGTGGCAATAATACCATAAGTGCCTACTAATATGCCTAATATTAAATGCCTATATTTACAAAATGCCTACTAATAGATTTGCATCACTGCTAATAGATTTGTGTTGAGGATTTAATAACAGAAGCAAACCATACAGAATAGAGCTAGTACATAGTCTCCTATAAATATAAACTATTACTACTATTACCACCACCTGCTGCTCCATGGGATCCTTTCTTACCCAAAAGAATTAGGTAAGATGGTTAGTAAGGGAATTATATACATACATACCTTCTAGGAATAGGAAGTCAATAGTTCAAAGAAGGGAAGGGCAATCTATACATTAAAACCACATCTTAGATCTTAACTCTAACCATCAGTAAAAGGTCAAAGGGAATATAAACATTATTAAATGCTGCCATTGGGGGGAAAACATGCATAGCGAACCACCACCACAGTGGAGAAAAATGGCTTCTTTGTAAAATACCTGGGATTAAGTTTCTCATTCAGTTTTATATAAATGGGCCTACTAGTAAGTGGTAGAGGACTGTAGCTGTATCCAGAGAGTCAAAAGCTTTTGTTTATCTGCAGTCTGCAATTTCTGTTATTCTTGAATCAGTCCCCAGTAACTCATACAAAGGCTCTCTGTAAAATGCATGTTGTCCTTAGAAAAGCTGGCTTTTTGGGTGATTTAACAAAAACCTCTGCAAAATCAAGAATCACTCTCTGTTCTGGCATAGAGTGTACTCCATATGGCTGCAGAGAAGGCCACAATGGCTGCACACCTGCTCCTTGGAGGGGCAGAGTCTGGAGATACTGAGCAACACTCCAAATCACTCCAAGCTCCTGCTTGAG